GGATTAGTCCATAGTCTCGATTGTTTTCGAGTGTTTCCTTAATTTTAATGTTCCATGAATGTATTGTGACTTAAAAACCATCTCTTTATTGATAGTTATCTAGGTTGTGGGGTTTCCTTTTGTCACTCCTCTAACAGGTATTACTTAATTCAAAGGAGTTTGTGGCCCCACTATGCCTGTTAAAGTCTGTGATTGGTTAATGAATATAAACTGTTCCAAAGCCAAAGGTTGCTGGAAGGAACAATGCCAAGAACAGTCATACCTACAGACTGTATCTTTTTCCATTAAAAGGGCTGTGAATTGCCAAACTTAGTGGCATACAGCTTTAATCCCAGCACTCCGGAGGCAGAAGCAGGCGAATCTCTGTGAGTTCAAAACCAGCCTGGTGTATAGAGTGAGTTCCAGAACAGCCAGTGCTGTTACACAGAGAAACCCTGTCTTGAAAAACAAAAAAAGGGGCGGGCCTACAGATTAACTTTGTAGCATCCTGCATGAAATTATTTATTATTATTTGTTCTATGTGGGGTTAGGAACTCTCTCTCTCTCTCTCTCTCTCTCTCTCTCTCTCTCTCTCTGTAGGTCTGAGGACAGTTTTTAGGAGTCGGTTCTGTTCTTCTACTGTGGGATCTGTGGATTGAAGTCTTGTCTTCAGTCTTGGACAGCAAGCGTTTTTTCCCTGCAGAGCTATCTTGCCAATCCTACCCACAACTACTTTAGTAATGCCAAGTCTCCTGTAGTGTGGTCTGAGTTCCTCCAGCACACAGCATGTTCCCTCCCTGTGTGCGGTTATTCTGATCCCAGCCTGTCCTTTCTTATCTCTGGAGAGCCTAAGTCTAACCCTTTCCTCCGCGCTTTGGGGCCTTTGCCTTCCTGCCTGCTTCCTGTCCTCTGTCTAGTGCCTTGCTGTCTCTGCTTCTTTCCATCGACTCCCAGTCTAGAGATATATTTAGGCTTTCCCGTGTTAACAATTACACCTCTATGTTGCCACTTCCTCTTAGCTCTAGCTTCCACCTCTCCACCCATTCCATCTTGGAAGGGGTGAGGTCTGCAGAGTGGAGGGCATAAGGTGTTATTTTGGAGCGCTTGAAGAAAGTGTTGTGAGTTCTGTGCATGTCAGAATTTCATCCAGCACGTGTGTTTGCACCTATTTTATAACCTAGTTATACGTGTGGATCACTTGTCTAATTTGCATCTCTTCTCACCGGCTCCAATCTCCTGCAGTCCAGACCCACATCCCACCTGACTTAGGAGTAGCTCCGCTAGATAAGGAAAGTAAGTCACCAGGGCGGTGAATAGCAAGAGGTGGCCCGGGACGGAAAACAGCCATCAATTGAGAGGGCGGTGAGGACCTTGGCATCTTCCCGGAGTCCCTGAAGTATTTGTTAAAAAAACAAGGGATTGGCTTGTCCAGAGAAGAGTTGGAGAATATAAGGGATTGGGCTAGAGATGGCCGCAGGGACCCAGAGAATAGAGCAGGATTTGAAAAACTGAGAAATGAGACAGATGAGGGGATGGGCAGAGATACAGAAAAGTTGGAATTCAAGATTTTGTCAGGTGACCTGGATGTCTTGGCCATCTTTTATTATTATTATTATTTTAATTTTAAATAGCTTGTTTTACATGTCAATCCCAATTCCCTCTCCCTCCCCACCTCCCGCACCCCCACACCATCTCCCCAGCCTCCCACCCTATCCCCACTTCCTTCCACATAGGGGATATCCAGAGTCTGTCATTTCACTCAGGGCAGGGTCCAGGCACTCCCCTAAGGAGTCCAGGCTGAGAGAGCATCCCTCTTTGTGTTATGGACACACAAAGTCTGTTTGTATGCCAGCGATAAACACTGCTCAGGACCCCATAGGTAGCCCAGGCCTCCTCACTGACTCTCACACTCAGGGGGTCTGGATTAGTCCCATGCTGGCCTCCCAGCTGTCGGTCTGGGGTCCAAGAGCTCTCCTCTGTTCAGATCAGCTGTCTCTGCTGGTTTTGTCTTGGCCATCTTTTGATAATGGTAGTAAAAATGCATAGAGGGTGCAGGGGGCTTGGTCTCCACAGCAGAATATGGTGGTGTGATCATCAGCTTTCTGAGATAGAAGGAAGCAAGCTGTGGACCTTGCTATGGACAGGGTTCATATTTCTAACGTTTTGGGCAGTTTGACTCCAAAGGACTAGATAAGTTTCCCAGCTGATTTCTTCATGCTAAAACTCATCTTGACTTGAAATTGAGAAAAAAGTTAATCATCTGTCTTGCTCAAAACCCTTTTTAATGGCTCTTGATTTTGAGTTGCATCACTGTAAGGAGGCTGTGGCCATAGCGCCAGGATTTTTGCGGCAGTAAAAGAGCCATTAAGTTTTTCTTATCTGTCAAATAGATCTAACCATTTCCGCATTATAAGCACTTCATGGGAAATTTGCACTAATTAAATGCTGTAGTAACTCAGGAGACTTTATTTAACCCTCGCACAGTGCTTGACAGAGGTGCTTAGCAAGTATAGTTTGGCATTAGGTGGTAAGTGCCGCATTTTCAGCTGCCCTGTGGCTCCCTTTGTGTCGTGTGTTTTGGTTTGGTTTTGCTCCCTTATTCCTACTGTTAGTATGATGGTCTTCCAGCTCTCAGTTTCCTTTTTCTTCTTCTCATTCTCTCACACGTCTACCTTTATGCCCGTGCCCCCCCACCTAACCCTTGTGATTTGGTGTCTGCACTTAGTTCAGCTCTGTCTGTGGCATTCCGCAGTAGGGCACTCTTGAGCAGGGGCAAGGCACCCCTCACTGCATGCATCTGAACAGGTGGGAACGGTGTCTTTTGTACTCCAGGCTCGGGAATCCTCCATTATAGGAAAGATTAGCCATGCTAGCATGTGTTGGAGTGACAGTCGGCAGAGCAGACTGTGATGGTGATGCTCATTTGAACTGGAAGGGCCCAGGCCATGCAACCATGTAGAAAGACAAGTAGGGACATGTTCTCGTCCCATTGCAGCACCCATATTTCCTAATGCTGTTAGCACTCTGGTTGAGAACAATGGCCTTTTGCAGCAGCACCTTCCATGTGTCAGGCTTTTGGAGGCATAGGAAGCCATGGGCTGGTCAAGCACAGATTCTGTACCCACAGATTCACCAACTGGATTGCACGTTTCAGAAGTGTTAGTCTATCCTAAACATGTACAGACATTTGTTGTTATCATCCCCCTGCACAACACAGTGCAAAAACTAATTTTTCAGCATTTTCACTTACATTAGGGATTATAAGTCATCTATGTACAACCTAACAGGAGTATCCAACCTTCCTGGGGTACTTTTCTCCTTATCTGGTTTTGGGTGACCTCACTGAAATAATTCAGTTAGCCTCCCCCTTTTGCCTCTGTGCCTCAGGTCCCTCATCTGTCAAGGGTGAGAGATTGAATAGCTCATGGTATGAAAATATTTGAAAAGCATAAAATGTTACCCCAAATTAAACCATTCTTAGCCATATCAATTAGGTTCACCTTGGAGCCTCCTAGGCAATCATACCAGCCTCGTGCTAGTGATGCTGTGTGACAGATGGCATGACCAGCTGTAGCGTGTCCTACAGACTGGCTTGGTACCTTGTCTCTTTTTCTGGGTTTAGACATTCCTCTGTGAACGTAAAGCAGGAGTTGTGTATTATCTCGGCCCCTGGGAAATTTCCCTTCAGTGTGGAATTCTGTAGTCAAGAGCCAGAGCCATTGTCTGTGTCCAGGGTCCATAGCAGGCCCAGCTACCACTCTGGGAGCACTGCCAGATCTTGGTTTTAGCTCTTGGCACAAGGCAGCCTTGGGCTCATGTGCTTTGGGTGCCTATAACTGTTTCCTCTCATTAGCACACAGTCTTGATTCTGTGCTTGCACCGAAGGGAGAAAAGAAGCAGCTGACATCTTCCCTGGAGTCCTTGTCTCCTGGGCTTGCCATGGGGTCTGTGTGCATCACACACACACACACACACACACACACACACACACACACACACACGCATGTGTACTCTAGGGGTTGAGAATTTGCCTTAGATGAACCACCTGGCAAGATTCTGGTTTTCTCCAGAGTTTGTAGTCCAGCACTGAGTTTTGTTTTATTTTGTCTTTTCATTTTTGCATTTTGGTCTTTGAGGATTTCATACAGCATATCTTTATCATATTCTTTGTCTTCCTCTCATGACTTCTGTTTTGAGGGAGACCGGAATTGGGTGAGACAGTGTTAGATGTGTGGAAAGTAAGGAAGGTGTTTTTGGAAAATGGTCAGAATTGGCCCATTTCCTTAGGTTAAACCCTCAACTGACACCCAACTATCACATTGGGAAACCCATTATTCTTGGATCAGAACTTGACCACACCTAGGATTCCTTTTGTTTTTTATTTGGAATATGAATTTAATAAATCCTCCATTGAATGTTCTTGTCAAATGAGTTTCTCTACCATCTGTTTTCCAGGAGTGGGACTATAAGGTTGTTTCTTCAAATGTATTCTTCAGAGTATTATTTTTAATATATATATAATGTCTTGTTGAGACAGGGTTCCTCTGGTGGCCTTGGCTGTCCTAGAACTAGCTTTGTAGATCAGGCTAGCCTCGAACTCACAGAGATTCACCTGCCTCTGCTTCTGAAGTCCTTGGATTAAAAGCATGTGCCACCACTGCCCAGCACAAATATATTTTTCTTAAAGAGACACTTGAGAAAGTGCCATACAACCCATGTTAAAGTAGCTTCCCTCTTTGCAGAAACCACCGAAGTCCGTCATTCACCAGTGGTCTTCATGGTGAATTTCCAAGTGGATATATTGCTTTATGCAATATCCATTCAATTTTAATACACTCTTCCCGGTGAAACATGCCAGTTGGGATGAGAAAGTCCATTCATTTTGTTCTTTTTTTCCCTTGAATTGTAATGCGAGGTGAATGGATGAAATGTCCAGGTTGCCACCTTGTGAGTCCTGCAGGCTTTGGGTGTCTAGCAGAGTCTAATTTTCTGAACCGCCTCTCTCCGTCTTATCCCCACAGCTCCCCTTTGAACTGGAGATTTACTACATCCAGCATGTGATGCTCTATGTGGTCCCCATATACCTGCTTTGGAAAGGAGGTAAGACCAGCAAAGCATATGCCTCTGGAATCTGCACACCTTCCCTTTCTCTCTGGTTGGAGGAGTCACACTCTCTTGGGTGCCTACCAGGATCTCGGGGTGCTGCTTGGCTGAGTATCTACAGCATGCTTAATGTTGGTCTCAGGGCACTGGGGTAATGGGCATGAAAGAGACCTGCCGAGAGCCTGGGTGCTGTTCAGAAGCATCCCTTGTAGGTGCGCATGGTACCGCTGACTGCCTGTCACAGAACCTAAGTTTTGGGTTCTTGGTGGTAGCCTGGGGTTTGCATGGCACCCAGCATACTGTGTCAATCTAGTGCTTCTGCCCCCCCCCCCCAGTGTGCACTTCAGAGTAGGAGAGAAATATTTCATCCTCTCAAGAGACGGCCTTCTTGCTCTTTGTATCCATGCCCGGGAAGCAGAAAAGCTGCCGAAAGGGGCAGGAATTGCACAGCGTAGGAGACTGTGGGATTGAAGAAGGCAGCAGATGAGAATACCCTCCTCCATGTAAAAGAAAGGACTATGGGCATCGCTTTAGCCAGGCAGCAGATAGCACTGACCGGGTAGAGGTGGCCTGCAAAGGAACCCGAAGTGCTAGCGGTCTCCACTGTAGACAGGACAGGACAGTACTGTACCTTCTGTGGCTTCCTGAAAGCCTCTAGAAGTGGAGGGATTTCTTCTCTACCAGAGCCTGCCTGTCAGGGTAGCTAGGAGTTTTTTGAGAGACAAACTCTTTCCCTACTGCACCTCAGACAGTCACGATCCATTTCTATCACTTTCAAAATGGCCCGAGGCCACCTGGGGCCTTGAACTCATTAGCTGCTCCTCCTGAAGTACTGTTAGGCTCAGCTGCCTCTTGTCATTGAGTTATCTCCTCTTCCCTGGTTCCATCAGGTCTGTTCCACAAGGTGACGGAATGTTCCTTGAGGCTGCTTTAACCTGGTGACACCACTAGGGGTCTCACGCCATCAAAGAACTCCCTTTTCCTTTGAAAGTATTGGCTTTCCCTACTAAACTTCCAGAGAAGTCTAACATTCCTACATCCAGGAGACTCCTGCTGTTTCTCAGCTCCATCCCTGGTGGCATAGGCAACAGGCTAACAATAGTCAAATCTCAGGCGTTCATGCATTCCAAATGGAACCGGAACACCTTTTCTTCTGTGATGTGTGCTGGGAAGTATGGCCAAATCCAAATGCCTGTCATTGAAATGAGTTTGTACTCTGAGCTCACCATCAAAAGCTATCCAGTAGCTGGGTGACATTGGTCTACCATGGAAAACACTGGGTAGTTCATGCTCTTCCTTCTGGGGTGGGCCTGGGGGTTAGGGGAGAGACTGCCTAAGACGCCATGCACTTTAAACACGGTTGGTTCTCTGCAGCCCTCTGTTGGGCCTGTTTCTGTGTCTCTTGAGGCAGCTGAGCTGAGGAAATGGGGATTCTGAGTCGTCGTGGCAATTTATTTCTTATTTTTAGTCTTCCATGTGATGGGACGCTACAACACTAGTGATAGTAATGAGAGCCACAATAAATAATAGTAACTGCCTTTTTCTTGACTACTTGTTCTGTGCAGAATATGTGGACTGCTTTGTTTATGTACACCTTTAAATAGTCTATTGATGGACTCTCCTATGGACAAGAAAATTAAGGCTAAGAAACATTAGATGCTTTGTCCAATGCTCTAAGGAGCAAACCTAGAATTCAAAGACTAGCCAGACGTTCTGTGACTAAGGCTTTCTCCCACATACCATACTGTCCAGAAGGCCAGATGTCTTTGCCTTTACCACATCAGCCTGGGAGTTCTGTCTCATGTGTCTCATTTCTCCTCGGCTTCAATTCAAAAATTTACCCAGTGTGGATTTGGTGGCCACCTCCTATGTGTCAGGCATTTGTAGCTGTGAATGGGGGCCCGGGGAAGGGAGAGTATTACAACACAGCATGGTAAGTGCTACCGAGGGGAGTGAGGAAACAGAATGTCATTTCTAAAGGCCAACTCATCTCCACTTCTGCACCATTTCCGGGAGGATAATTGTATATTCTTAGAGGATATGCTGCGAGTATCTGAGGTCCCTAGCTCATGAGATGCAAAATAGGACCATTAGAAAAGGTGGTATGCTCTTTTATTGCTAATACCTCATTGTCGCCTGAGCTTGGTGAGGATTTAGCTAGCAAGATAGGAAGGATGATGTCCCTTTCACTCCAGGTCAGAGTGAGAGCACCTAACCAAACCATAAAACTTCTAAGTCCTTATAGTGTAGAGTGCTTTCCAGGGCTTCCAGCTCTTTTTCTAACTCTTTGCTGCCATCTGCTGTTCACTTGGGAAATTGTGAGCACAAAGAGCAAATCCTGAATTAGTAAGACTAGTGTTGCTTTTGGTCCTTAACCTTGGGGGCTCTACTGCTTCAGGAGGAGACATGAATCCGGAGAGATGAGATGATAAGTCCCCGGTAAAGCAAGGAAAATACTTTTAGGTTTCTATTCTCCTCAAGACCCTGGGAATTTTCCTGAAATAAATGCTTGGTAGTTTTGGCATGAGCACAAAATTCCTGTTCCCGGGGCTCTGGTGTTGGGTGTTGGCTGGGCTCCCATTCCCTGCTCGTTTCCACAGTCCTTAGGTACTCTCACTGGTCACGTGGCCGTCGTTGTCCACAATGTTCTTTTCCCTCTCCAGCCTGGCTCTTCCCTTCCCTCTCCCATTCCCTGCCACCTCTTTGCCTTTGGTTTCCTGGACTAAATTCCTTTTTTGTTATTGCCCCCCCCCCCCCGTTGTTGTTCACGTTTGTGTGTCTTTTATTGTATTTTGCCACATTGCAGTTGCATATGCTCATAGGGCACACGGCCATAGTTCACTCATGGCAGAGTGTTTGAGTCTGCACATGGATAGGGCTGAGGAAAAGGTGAGGCATGTATGATGGAGAGGGACTGAACCATGCTAACGAAGACTCGCTTTGTGGGAACACCCCTCCCCGGGCAGCAGCTCTCCACAGAGCCAAGACTCACGGTTCTCCCGAGGCTGTGCAGTGTGACGTGCCCCATGGGTTGCCTGGTAACTCCACTATCTCCTCTAGGCCACTGTTTCATCTCGACCTCAGGGCGAAGTGCTTTCTCCTTTATCATTCTCTTTCCCCCTCCCCCTCCTCCTCCTGATTCTCTCATCTCCATCTCCTGAGTGTGGGGTGGGAGGCCCCTATACATACCACCACGCCTGGTGTCCCAAGTGCCAGCATCAACTCAGGACCTTGTGCTTGCTAGACAAGCAGTCTGTCAGCTGAGCGATATCTCCATGGCTCTCCAGTCTCCTCTTCACCATCTTCGGATTTCTCCTTCACTTCCCTTCCGGTCCTGGAAATCCGTGCTTCTCGGGATTTCCACTGCAGTGTGAGGCAGCGTTCCGGGAGACTTCCTTTGAAGAGTTTGTTAGTCGCACACTTACCTTCTCAGGGTTTGGGCCTGTAAATTGCGCTGGTTTCCCAATGCCCTTCTCTTTAGCTACCAGGGTCTTGCTTCTCCCCAAGACCACTCTGTTTGAGATAATAAACAGCCATGCCTGTTTCTGGTCTTCCCAGTTAGCTTGTACCACCATGACCAGTTAGTTACGAGCTGCTGATAGTTTCGTGTCCCCGTCCCCTGACCTGGGAGCGGTTTCCAGTTCTGCTGTAGTGTGCCCAGTCTTAGCCTAATGGAGAAAATCACACTTGATGAAGGCCACTGAGGCTCCACCGTGTCTTTACCCACACCACAGATTCATACGTTCATGTTCCCCTTCAGTCTCAGAAGAGGTAGTCCTGACAGTGGTCGCTCACACCGTTGTTACCCTCCGTGCCTCATGGGAAACCTCATTTCTTCGGTCCTCTGGTTGCTTGGTTTAGGTTTTATCTTTTCAAGACAGGGTTTTTCAGTGTAGACCTGGCTGTCCTGGGACTCGCTCTGTAGACCAGGCTTGCCTTGACCACAGAGATCCACCTGCTTCTGCTGGGGTTAAAGGCATGCACCACCACCACCTAGCAACAGTATTTTAGTATTTCCCTCCCCTCCCCTCCCCTCCCCTTTTCCTCTTTCTCTTTCTCTCCTCCCTTTCTTTCTCTCTTTCTTCCTCCCTCCCTCCTTCTTTTCCTTTCTTTTTCCTTCCTTCCTTCCTCTCTCTCCCTCTCTCTCTCTACCACTTTTTAAAAACAATGAAGCCCAGTGAGTTCTGTCATTGTTTTTTCCTCCTTCTCCAGCATCTAAAAAAATTTAAGGACTTGTCCAGTCCAAGCATAGTTAACAAGCACAGAATCATAAATGTACCTACAATATTGAGTTTTGTGTGTGTTTGACTCAGTTCTCTAGCCTGAATTTTGTAGGGGCCACAATAACAAAAGGCTGAGCATGCATAGTGTAATAATGTTTCCTAATGTTCACCTATTTAGGTATGATGATTTTTTTGCCTTATTCTACGAACATCTATTACTATAATGTAATATATGGCTGTGAATCTAGTGACTTTAAAAATATGATTATTGTTAAGGCAACCCTCATAATGTTCATTAAAGCATAGCTTTGATTTCCTGTCTATTTTTAGACACTTGAAATAGAAGTCACTATTAAAACTGATTTACAGCCAGATATCACCTCGCAAACGTTGTGAACTGTTCTCTCTCAGCCTGCCTTCTCCATTAATCCTCATAATCATGTCCTCTCTTACCAAGATCTTCACAGACATTGCACTGCCAATGGTCACCAACAAGAGCCATCTGGCCAAACCTAGTAACCAGCCTTTATCTCACTGGAACCCTGCGGCAGTGGGGACTGGTGACTGCTCCCTTCTGGAAGGTTCTGGGTTTGTCCTTCCCAGCTCTCCCTTTCTTCTGGCCTGCCCTCCTCACCGACTGCTTTCACAGTGCCCTTCGCAGGCCCTTTTTTGTCTGTGCTCCCAAGAGCTCTGCTCTAGGCACATTCCACCTTGAAGATTCTGCCAGTCGGTGTGGGGCTGGCTGCTGCCACCATCCATACCTGGTGGGCCATG